TTGTCCAGGCTGGTCTTGAACTCTTGGGTCAGGCGATCTTCCTACCTTGACTTCCCAAAGTGCTGGATAACAAGCATGAGCTGGAACACTCAGTTTCTTTTCTTTTTTTTTTTTTTTTTTTACACATGGCTACTAAGAAATTTAGAATTGTACCTATGGCTTGCATTCTATTTCCACTGGGCAATGCTGCATGGTTTTGCATGGGTCACTTCACTTAACCTAATGACAACCCTATAGTGGAAACACTATTATTAAAGCTTTTTGTACACATAAGGAAACTGAGGCAAAAGAGAGAAGGGCACAGATGCTAGAACAAGATAGCCTAGAGTCAAATCTTGGTTTTCACTCATGAGCTGTGTGATGTTTGGCAAATTATTTACCTCTCTGTGACTGTTTCAGCCTCTGTGAAACAAGGATAGTAATGGCACCAGCTTCTCAATGGAGTGAGTTAATTTATGGAGGCCTCACCTCCTTCCTTCCTCCTGCTCTAAACCTTTCCCAGATTTTTTCCTCCTTCACATGCCTCCCATGGCTCCCTGCTGCTCTGCACTGGCTCAAGTGACTGGAACACCCTGAGCTTTCTTATACCTGATGGTTTTGCAGAGGCAGTTCCCTCCTGATGAAATACTGTTCCATTCCTGCCCTAAGATTCCTCAGTCCTGGCTTGCAAATTCCTACATCCATGCCTGCAGGCGTGTGTCTCACGCCTGTAATCCCAACACTCTGGGAGGCTGAGGCAGGTGGATTGCTTGAGCTCAGGAGTTTGAGATCAGCCTGGGCAAGAATAAGACCCTGTCTCTACTAAGAAATAGAAAAACTAGATGGGCACCATGGTGGGTGCCTGTAGTGCCAGTTACTCAGGGAGCAAGAACAAGGCCCTACTTCTACTAAGAAATAGAAAAACTAGCATAGGACACTGGCCCCATATACTGGGGTGGTGGGTTCAAGCCCAGCCCCAGCCAAAACTGAAAACAAACAAACAAAAAACAACTAGACGATAGCTGGGCATTGTGGCAGGCACCTGTACTCCCAGCTACTCGGGAGGCTGAGGCAAGAGAATAGCCTAAGCCCAAGAGCTAGAGGTTGCTATGAGCTGTGATGCCACGGCACTCTACTGAGGGCAACAAAGTAAGACTCTGTCTCTAAAAAAGAAAAAAAGAAGAAAAACTAGCTGGGCATCATGGTGGGTGCCTGTAGTCCCAGTTACTCAGGAGGCTGAGGAAGAAGGATAACTTCAGCCTAGAAGCTTGAGGTTGCTGTGAGCTAGGCTGATTCCACAGCACTCTACCCAGGGTGATAGAGGGAGACTCCAAAAAAAAAAAAAAAAGAAAAATTCCGCATTCATATATCTCTCTAGGGTTTTCATTGCCTCAGGTCCACACTGAGCTTAATGTCTTTCCCTCCTCTCCTTCCCCAGGTTCCCCATGTCCAACAGGGCTCTGAGCCAGACCAGGATTACCTGTGCCAAATCCCACATCAAGCCTGTCAGGTCCCAGCCCTGGCCCTCCTGCCTCAACCTCATCCTCCCTGCCCCCTCCACTAAACTCCACAGCATGGTCTTCTCGCCTGGGTCCCCCATTCTCCCCCTCACTCCACTCTGTTCTTTTAGGTCTCCTTGGTGCCAGGGGTCCTTCTGCACTTGGGCTGCCCTTGCTCTGCTCACAGCCCTTTCCTGGCTCCTAGACCCCTCCCCACAGTCCAGCCCCCACCCCCTGTCAGGGACTCACCTACATGAGGCCCCAGGCAGGTCAGGGCTCCATAAGCAGTACATCCTGGGGACAGGAGGTGGGGGGCACCTGTGGCCCCGACAGGGTCAGTCACAGGTGGGTAGGCAGGGCCTCTGGCCACCCTCTTGTCTCTCTCCACTCCCTCTGCCCATCCTGCTGGCTCACCTGCTCCCCAGGGCAGGGCATCCCCCACCTCCTCTTTCGCCAGTGCAGGTAGCAGACAGCTGCTGA